GTCAAGCAGCCAAACAATGCAGACATCGCTTCCCTCTCTCCCTGGCTTTACCCCCCTTACCCGGAGTAACGAGTCTTCAAGTGCATTGTTTAGCCATTCAGGATTTTTCTGTGCATATCATAAATATGTTTTAAAAGTAAAATTGAGACCATATATAGTACTTGGTTTTTATTAGCCAACAATGCTCTCCGATATTCCTCCATTTTACTACATTGTTTTAAAAGTTGTATAGCTGTGTGTGTGTTTTTAAATTGGGGAGCATTTTCTCCAATTTTTTTCCCTAATCTTTAAGTTTTTGTTTTGAAGAAGAAACTGTAAACCAATATTTTGAATCGTAGTTTGGTAAAACTTTCAGAATGTCTAAGGCCAGATGGAGGATATTTGCATATTAGGCAAGCTGAGTGGTAGGTTTCCACAGAGCTTAATGGTAGTTTACATGAGGCTTGGATGACTTCCTCGAGCAGGTTAGTGAAATAGTTTACTTTGTTGTTGTTTTTTTTTTAAGTATTTTTCAAAGTAAATTTAAGTTTCTCCTAGTCAGTTGAAAACAAATGTAATTCCTTAACCATGAACTGGATCAGGTGTGAAGAAGAGGTAAAGGGGGGGAAGGCCAGTGGCTCAGAAGTCTGTATTTCAGGCAGGTTAAACCAAAACAGAAAACTCAGAAAACAGCCAGCGGTTACCTATTTTGATAGTAGGGAGTAAGCCGCAGATGGAAGGATGGTAACTACACTGCTTACTATTAAATAGGCAGAAAGCTAGGAACTCCCCATTACATTTTATATTTATTTCTACGTGCAAAAGAGCTGGAGACCTTCCTGACATAATCACGGAGTTGTGTGTTTATTAAACATGTACTGTGTTCATCTTGGTGCTAGCTTTCAGAGAGAACATAGAACTGAGGAAGATGATCGCAAAGAACAGTCAGGTTCTAGCCTGAACTCTTAGGCTCATTGGGGTAGCATTTGATTATTTGGGGAACCGTTTTTAAAAGGAACCAAAAATACCCATGACATTTTAGATACTGTTGCTGGTAATACGTTCTTCCTTTATATATATTTTCCACAAAAACAGGTGGTATTCTCCACATTAGATAAATAAACAGGCTGAGAGATTAAACTGCTCAGGGTTCCGTGCCGTTGCCTTTTCAGTAGTGGTGGCTGCTTTAGACTTAGGCATACTTCATCCAAGAACCTATATTTTCCCTTCTGCCAGCTGCTTCCCATGAATGAAGAGTACCTTACAAAGTTTCCTTCTCCTTTATTTGGTCATAAATGTTTTTTACAAAAAAGACACATGAATGTAATAATACTCATTGAAAAAATAATCCAAAAGAAAAGTGTAAAATTAAAATTATCTTTTTAGATGAGGTTTCTGGTGGTGTATTTTTTAAATATTAAATTCCTTGAGCTGATGTCATTAACCAAGATGAAGGCAGATTGTGTTACTTTAGTCACTGCTTGATGCCCTGGCAAATTTGGATATCATGGTAAATTGTACCTTGTACAGGTGCTTTTGTTACCTTACTAACTGGGCGGATAATCTCATTGCTTTTAGCATTATTTTTATGGGCCCAATTGCACTCTTGGTAACGTGTGAACTACTCTGATGAAAACAAAACAAAGAGGGCCCTACAAATATTAAAATGTACCCTTGACCGGAATCAAACCTGGGACTCTTCAGTCCGCAGGCCGACGCTCTATCCACTGAGCCAAATCGGTTAGGGCTATTTTTGGTATTTTAATGTCTCTTAAAAATGCATCATGACAAACATCAGAGTATGTGTCATAGTATTATGGTATATTGTTCCAGTTTTCCAGCTGGTGTGACAACTGTGTAGTTTAAAGATGGCAAATACTGCAGTTCAATAAAATATGAGCGGTGTAATATGTACTTGAGAAAAAAATCCACATACAGGAAAATATTTGAGTTTTTATTCTTGGCAGTTACTAAGGATGGTAATTGGATTCACATCTAAGTGGCCTATCTTCCACCCTTTGTCTCTTGGAAAGCTTACCACTGGATCTGAGTGGGTTTTATATTTGTGGGACACAAAAATGTTTCAGACACCAGGGAGGTGTCTTTAGAATATTTTAAGATCTATTGACTCGTCTATTGGAGGGCGAGGAAACCAATGCTGTGTAAGTATATTTTCAGAAATTAATAAGAGATTTTAAGGCTGATGGGAAGAAATAAAAAGTTTATTTTCCACTTTAGCCTCAAAATCCTTTTGGGGACATATAATCATGAGTAGCCAGAGAAGCATCAGGCCTGATCTAGAGTTTCAAATCCAAGTGGTGTTTAAACAGCTATTGTGATAGTTCGCAAAAGACCTGTTTCTTGAATAGATCTCTTTTTAGGGAGAAATTGGTTAAGGTGAAAGAGAAGCTGAAATACAGGGGAGAAAAATCAGAATTGGCTGTCAAAATACACAAAAGGAGAGGATGGTTCTTCAAAGAGTGGGTCATCAGTAGAGTCAAATGTGTGCATGAATGCCAAGGAATATGAGAATTTAACATTATAGATCTTTGAACTTTGACATACTGAAAAATAAGGTAATTGTTGCTGTGTTAGCCGAATCCTGTTGGGGGTTAATACTTCAGTAACAATACCCTTACAAGTTTCTTCTGTGCTTATGTGGATATGAAAGAATAAAACTGTGCCTATACTGCAGTGTCATTTTATTCCTTTTAGCAGTATCAGGAAGCTCCAACTATATGGTCAGCTAAAGATTCATGTGGCTCAGCGGTGTGGCTCAGTGATTGAGCCTTGACCCATGAACCAAGAAGTTACTGGTTTGATCGCTGGTCAGGGCACATGCCCAGGTTGTGGGCTCAGTGGGGGTTATATACAAAGTAGCCAGTCCCTGACCTTTATCTCTCATCCATGTTTCTATCTCTATCTCACTCCCTTCCTCCCTCTCTAAAATCAATAAAAACATTTAAAAAGAAAATCCATGTGGAATTTTGGATTTATTTGAATCCATCAAAGTTAATAGTTACCATGCAGAGGCTACAATTATATATTTCTATTATATGTATTTTTGCATCCTATGTTCTATTATAGTTTAGCCACTTAATTCTTGCTTTATTAAATAAAAATATAATCCTGGCTGTTAGGAATTGGGAATGTTGCATATCTTGGTGATGTGATGGAGGAGACATTTCGGTGTTTTTTTGTTTTTGTTTTTGGAATGCTAACTGCATGATTATAATGGAAGATGCTAGAATCCTAGTTGGCAGTTGAAATTGGAAGAGTCGGGGGATGGCCCTGTGGTTGGTAGTATCTCATGTGACCTGTTGTCTGCTCTGGGCAAGGGTCAGATCTGCATGTGTTTAGAAGTTCTGTGCTTAGAAAGGATACTGGCTATCTGGGAACTGGTCCCTGGGACTGTGGCCCATGTTAGTATATTTAACATAGGAAATCTGTTCAGGGGATGAACTAAGATCCCTATGTATCTAGACTGAAATGTCATAACCTATGATGTAATACATTTTCTGTGGTTAATTTTTTGTAATACTGTATGTTCAAAGATATTATTAAAACTATGAAATAGCTCTGGCTGATGTGGCTCAGTTGGTTGGAGCATCCTCCCATACACCAAAAGGTGGTGGGTTTGATTCCTCCACAGGGCAGATCTCTCCCCCGACCCCCCTTCCTCTCTCTGTCTCTCTTCCACCCCTTCCCTTCCTCTCTCTAAAATCAATAAAAAATAATTTAAAAACAACAACAAATAAATAAAGCTAAGCAATTTCTTCCTTCAGCCAACCTCCCCCATCCATATCTATTCCTCATAGGTTGCTTGGGTAATGGTTTTTTAACTGTGGTGTGAATCCTTTCATACTTTTATACATGAACAAAAATAATAGATGTTAAGGATGTTAAAAGTCAGAATTCCATGGAATAAGGAAAAGGTGATGATGTGATACAGGGGTCGATAGGAATGCTCTCTGATCCCTTCAGACTAGGTGCTGTGAAAAAGAGTATTATTTCAAGTGTAACAGCTACTTAGGTCCTGTACCTCGTCTATCAGGTTACTCCTAGCAAAGTCATTTCAGGTTTACCAAGTTGTGCTTTTTTAAGTAGTATATGATATCTTTTCTTAGTCATTTTTCAGTCAGTCTGTTCTGTATGTGGGATTTGAGTGTTTTTTGATAGGCATCAAAAAATTGTTTTTAGATATTTGATAGATATGTCATTTCCTTTTATGCCGGTACCATATATGTCGCCTAGACCACAGAGTTTAGATATTTTTACACTAGTTTATTTGCACTGACTCATTTCTGAGCATCTTTGATTCACTTTGGGTTGCTTATACAGACTTACTAATATTCTTTCTACAAATGATCCTTCTAAGAATAGCCAATGAATAAAGTAAACATATTTCTATTGATATAAATCCTATTGACTTCTGACCAAAATTTTACCTGGGTTGCAGGTTTAATCCCTAGCCCAGTCAGATGAATGTGGGAGGCAACCAGCCAATGTATCTCTCTTACATCAATGTTTCTCTCTTCCACTCCTCCTTCCCTTCCTCTTTCTAAAAATCAATGGGAAAAATATCCTCCGGTGAGGATTAGCAACAATAAAAAAATAATGTGCTCTTAGTAAATGTAATTTTACTTACACAGTTTGACTATAATTTGAAGAGCAATCTAGTTAACATGAAGTAATTCCTTATGTTATTAAAGACCTTTAGTTCTATGAATTCATTTTAACCAAATTCAAAGTAATTTTTAGACATTTGTCTGAAAATACACTAACCATTTAAGAGGCTAATTTCCTTGAACAAAGACTATTTATGTGAACTGAAGCTGCCCATTGAAATTCTCTCCTCAATGTGCCTGTGTCCTGATCCTCGCCAGGCCTATCATGCAGAAGTTAAGTGCGGCCTGGAGGGTGGCGCTAAGCTCTAATTTAAAAAGCTTCACAGACATTTTGGTTATTTAGTTTGGACTGTTTTCTCCAAATGGTATTTATTGACTCAAGGAACCACTAGTGACAGATTAACCCTGTAAACTTAAGGTAAGCCTCCTAGCACTTAGAGCTTATACATTGTTATGGTGATCTTATGAAAAAAGTTCATGTTTAAGGACTTCTTAAACTTTCTCTGGCTCATGAGTAAAAATAAGGATAATTATTTGTCCTCATAAACGAATGAAACTATAGTATCAGTGTGTATGCAGTCATGCATTTCTCAGGTATCAGACTTACAATTCTAGTTCTTATGGTTTCTTATTTCTGATAATGTGAGTATTAGTTATAGTGCATGACAGAAGATCTGTGAATAAGTTTACAATAGCTCTGTGTTATATGAGAAATCTAGAACAAGTAATTTACTCTTTCTTGGTCTTTTTTTTTTTTCTTCATTTGTATGGGGCAGAAAATACCACCTGTCCTGTGTAAATACCAGGGTAATTATGAAATTATATGAGTTGATATTAAAATACTTTGAATAATTAAGACTGATAATGTAACTAGGTATTTTGTTTTATGCAGCTTATTTATTTTGTTTTTTAGATTCAATTATTGATAGATATGTATTGCCATTTTACTGTTCATATTTTCTTAATATATTTTTATTGATTTCAGAGAGGAAGGGTGAGGGAGAAAGAGATGGAAACATCAATGATAAGAGAGGATCATTGATTGGCTGCCTCCCTCACACTCCTCTTGGGGATCAAGCCCAAACTTGGGCCTGTACCCTGATCAGGAATTAAACCTTGACCTCCTGGTTCATAGGTTGACACTCCACCACTGAGCAATACCAGCCAGGCTACTCGTTTTCTAAGACCCTTTAACATTTCCTGTAATACTGGTTTGGTGGTGATAAACTCCTTTAGCTTTTTCTTGACCTTTAGCTCTTTATCGGATCCTCAATTCTAAGTGATAGCTTAGCTGGGTAGAGTAATCTTGGTTGTAGGTCCTTGCTTTTCATCACTTGGAATATTTTTGCCCCTCCCTTCTGGCCTGCAAAATTTCTGTTGAGAAATCAGCTGACAATCTTATGTGAGCTCCCTTGTAGGTAACTAACTGCTTTTCTCTTGTTGCTTTTAAGATTCTTTGTCTAACTTTTTGCATTTTATTTATGATGTATCTCTTTGGGTTCATTTTGTTTGGGACTCTCTGCACTTCCTAGATTTGTATGTCTATTTCCTTCACCAAGTTAGGGAAGTTTCCTGTCATTTTCTCAAATAGGATTTCAATTTCTTTCTCTTTCCTCCTTCCAGCACCTCCATGATGAGAATGTTGGCAAGTTTGAAGTTGTCCAGGGGCTCCTTACACTATCCTCATTTTTTTGGATTCCTGTTTCTTTTTACTGTCTGATTGGGTGGTTTTTGCTTCCTTACATTCCAAATCACTGATTTGAGTTTCAGCTTTATCTACTCTACTGTTTAGTCCCTGTACTGTAGTCTTCATTTCAGTTAGTGTATCCTTCATTTCTGACTGGTTCTCTTTTATGGTTTCCATGTCCTTTTTTATGCTGTTGAAGTTCTCACTAAGTTCCTTTAACATTTTTGTAACCAGTATTTTGAACTTTGCTTCTAGGAGATTGCTTGTCTCTATTTTGTTTAGTTCTTTTTTTTGGAGTTTTGTTCTGTTCTTTCATTTATGACATGTTTCTTTGTCTTCACATTTTGGCAGCCTCCCTGTGTTTGTTTCTCTGTATCAGGTAGAGCTGCTACCTCTCCAAGGCTTGGTAGAGTGTCCTGATGTAGTAGGTGTCCTCCCCAATCTCCCAATCTGGGCGCTTGAGGCAAGGACTTACTTCACCAGGACTCTGGTGCCCACTGAGTTCACCCTCCGAGGGTGTCACCTGTGGGGGTGGTCGGGTGGTGGTTTGACATGGTTCGAAGTTGTTCACCGGGTATGCTGGCTCGGGGTCTCCCAGGAGGGGCTGACTTTGTTCTTCCCTGGCCCCCTGGCATAAGCTACGGAGTGATCTGCAGATGCCTACTGCTTGTGCTGGCTGGCTTGGAAGTGCCCAGGAGAGGCCACGCTGTGAACCAAGGCAGGCTGCCCCTAGTGCCAGGCCTGGGGCCACTTAGTGAGAGGTGTGGGGCACTGAGGCCAGATGCTCTGTGTTGGAGAGATTTTAGGAAAACCTGAAGCGTGAGCCAAGACACACCCTTTGCACGGAAAAGACACTGAAAACAGCTTGGGTAGGCCTGAAAGTTGGGTGCTGCAGGACAGGCAGGATGAGTCAGGTTGATGGAGTCTCAGATATGGCACCCGCCTGCCAGCTCGGGGGGGCGGGGGGAAGGCTCATCAAAGGAACAGTGGTCTCTGCCAACACTTCTGACTTGGGGAGGCTGCTCTCTAGCTCTCGCCTTGATGCTGGACAATTCAGTTTCTCCCCATATGTCTCTGATGCCTTTCAGGCTGCTGCCTGAGCACTGGGGTGAGTCTGAGTAAGTTCATGCAGGGACCCTTTACGACAAACTGCCTGGGACTCCAGCAGCTCCTCTGCCTCCTTCATCCTCAGTCCCCATTGTTATTACTGCGAGGAGTTATGGGACTTCTCTTCCTGACACTGGGACCCTGGCCTGGGGGGCCTGGTGTGGGGCTGGACCTCCATGCTCCTCGGGGGGGGGGGGGGGGGGGTGCTCCACAGCTGAGATAACCCTCTTGATTTTTTTTCCCTAAAATACTCTATTGATGTCCACAGAGAGGAAGGGAGAGGGACAGAGAGCCAGAAACATTGATGAGAGAGAAACACCGATCAGCCACCTCCTGCACACCCACGACAGGGGATGTGCACGCAACCAAGACACATGCCCCCGACCGGAATCAGACCCGGGACCCCTGAGTCCGTAGGCCGACGCTCCATCCACTGAGCCAAACTGGCCATGACTACCCTCTTGATTTTTATCCACCACATGGTGTGCGACCAGCCTGTTCAACATTTCTGTCCCTCCTACCGTCTCCATGCAGCTTCTGTTAATCCCTCGTTGTAGGACTTCTGTTCAGCTCGATTTCCGGCAGCTCTGCATGATGGTGGTTCTGCCGTTTATCTGTAATTTTGATGTGTTGGGAGGATTCATATATCCTTACCTATGCTGCCATCTTGACTGGAGGTTAGTCTTGGCAGCTGTTGGCATGTGAGTAGTGAACCTTAGCTTAGCCCATTCTTTCCTTTTCTTTCATTACTGTATACAGATGACACTTGAACAAAACAGGTTTGAAGTGAATGGTCCACTTATATGCAGTTGTGTGTGTGTGTTTTTTTTTTCAGTAAATACATACAGTATTATCAATGTACTTTCTCATGATTTTTTAATAACACTTCACTTCTCAGGCTTTATTATAAGAATACTGTATATAATACACATAGCATACAACATATGTGTTGATTGTTATTGGTAAGGCGTCTGGTCAACAGTAAACTATCAGTAGTTAATTTGGGGGGAAGTCAAAGTTCTATGTGGATTTTTTACTGTGGAGCCAGTGGGGTGGGGGTCAGCCCCCTCACCCCTGGGTTGTTCACATGTCAACTGTATTTCTGTTTCATCAAATCTGTTCGTCATCATTGAGGAAACTGTTCCCCTCGGCAGTTGCCTTTGCATCCATTGCAGCCTTGGTTCTCCCTGCCTCCCATGACAAGGTCGTTGAAGGATGAGGAAGAAAGCCCTGTGGCCATGCCCTCGCATGGTGCGTTCTCCTGGGCCCTAGTCTC